AAATCATAATTCTAGTGTAAACGATGTTATCACTACCCCTTGAGGTTAGCTTTCCTACAAAAATTTAGTGTTTTTTTCAAAAAGATCAAGTACAGGGTGAAACAGGAATTACCAGCCAATAATAGATAAACAATAAATATTACAGTTGGAACCTCATTATAACTTGGTTATAAATACAACCTTCCTGTGTCTATTGAAACCTTGCATTAAACAAAACAAGTTATGTGTGTGTGTGTGTGTGTGTAAATGATATTAAAACAAGCACATACATCATGTACATACAAGTAGACATCATTATACTTTACAAAATGTTTAAACAGGAATTACCAGCCAATAATAGATAAACAATAAATATTACAGTTAGAACCTCATTATAACTTGGTTATAAATACAACCTTCCTGTGTCTATTGAAACCTTGCATTAACAAAACAAGTTATGTGTGTGTGTGTGTGTGTGTAAATGATATTAAAACAAGCACATACATCATGTACATACAAGTAGACATCATTATACTTTACAAAATGTTTAAACAGGAATTACCAGCCAATAATAGATAAACAATAAATGTTACAGTTAGAACCTCATTATAACTTGGTTATAAGTACAACCTTTCTGTGTCTATTGAAACACTGTATTCAAAATACAAGTTATGTGTGTGTGTGTGTAAATGATATTAAAACAAGCACATACATCATGTACATACAAGTAGACATCATTATACTTTACAAAATGTTTAAATCTATATGCATAAATTTATTGGGAGACATACCCCTACTTGTTTCCTCTGTGCATACCCTTGCCTTTATTATCATTTTAACTAATGCTGGAAATGAAATTAGAAAAATTCATAAATGTCCACGATCTTTATTCACTGATAAATCGCGTGTTCGTTGGCATAAGGAGTAGTGTGACCATATATGGTCATGTATCTTTTACCATACATTTATTGAAATAGTATTTTCAATGTTTTGAAGTATTGTCAGTATTGTTTAGAATTTTTTTATAATTAGTACTAAAATGTTTAACAAAATAAATTTGACTTCGTATGTTACATTTTTTTATTTTGTAGACAAGTAATAGTTTTTCTATGTGAAATCCCTGTACTTTTCCAGGACATCGTTAACTACAATAGTGACTAAAAATAAAATTGTACACTTTATGGACAACCTGCTTATAAAACAGGAAATTGTTACGAACTACATTTTAACCCACCAATGTGTATGGTTGTCAGGATTGTCCCAATGAAGACGTGTACTGTTCATGTAAAACTTATTAACATGATTTAATAAATATAATGCCTATAAAGAATTAGATTTTACAACTAGAAGTATCTTTTAAACATTTTAGTCCCACAATGCCCGCACCTAAGTTACACCAACTAAAAACAGCTCTATTTAACAGCACTCTTTCAATCAACTGCTTCATGGACAAGAAATACAGAAATACTAAATATGAGAACAAAAGCTTTTTCCGAAGTCACTCTTTTGACTTTGCATTTCCAGGAATAAACAGTGCTAACAGGATGTTTATCCAAAATATCTCTCTCTCTCTAGGTATCATGCCCATCTAGGGCATTGATGAGCATGGTCTTCCACTGATCCCTGTCTCACGTTGCTTGTCGAAAACACTAACTATTTCGAACATCAGAATTGAACTCTACTTTAATTATTTTACCAGAATAAGTAAAAGTTTTTCTTGATAGTTTGTATCATTTAAATCACTATTTCAACTTTCTGTACCCTCTTCATGCCCTTTCGTAGTGGACAAAAGACTTACATTTAACACAGCTCGTAAATAGGCCTAACAAGCTTGATAGTTTGTATCATTTAAATCACTATTTCAACTTTCTGTACCCTCTTCATGCCCTTTCAGTGGACAAAAGACTTACATTTAACACAGCTCGTAAATAGGCCTAAGAAGCTTGATAGCTCGTATCATTTAAATCACTATTTCAACTTTCTGTACTGTCTTCATGCTCTTTTGTATTGGACAAAAGACTTATATTTAACACAGTTCATAAATAGGCCTAAGAAGCTTGACAGCTTGTATCATTTAAATCACTATTTCAACTTTCTGTACTGTCTTCATGCCCTTTCGTATTGGACAAAAGACTTATATTTAACACAGTTCATAAATAGGCCTAAGAAGCTTGATAGTTTGTATCATTTAAATCACTATTTCAACTTTCTGTACCCTCTTCATGCCCTTTCATAGTGGACAAAAGACTTACATTTAACACAGCTCGTAAATAGGCCTAACAAGCTTGATAGTTTGTATCATTTAAATCACTATTTCAACTTTCTGTACCCTCTTCATGCCCTTTCGTATAGGACGAAAGACATTTAACACAGTTCATAAATAGGCCTAATGAGAGTTTTATATAAAGGAACAGCATCATCTTTATTTAGAAAATAACATTAAGTATTACAACTAGAGCAACTGTCTCATAAAAACAACAACACGTCTTCTATCTATTATCTACTAGCAGTGTTGTCATCTTGTGTTACTGTTGTGTACAGATTCCTGTTTTAATGATTATTTAAGAGACCTAAATTATATGAATGTCTGGTACTGTGTAAATAAGTACCATAATCTAAGCTTATTTTATGTACAAAAATACAAAGAAATGGGGAAAATTAACTAATGTGGCAAACTTTTTAGCCTAACAACCTTCAACAACACAATGACTCGTATTCATGTTTTGTTTTCTGTATGACTTTCTTGGCAGGTTGATGGTAGTATACTCTAGGGCTGCTCTTTGCACTTGTTTACCTTGAGAACTTTGTGTGTGTCCTTGTTTAAATATTATACCTTCAACTTGAGTGGGCTGACAACTGTTGAGAAAACCTTCTACCTAACAAGTGACATTTTGACAAAAGACAAATGTATACATCATTGGAAACTTTATAGTTTGGGTGTGTTCTTGGCATGTTATGATTTTGTTGTCAGGGGTTTTCTGTCTCTCTGTTGCCCTTTTATTTTCTGATTATAGCATTGAAATACGTTTGAGAAAAATTGTCTTACTGTAAATGAGGAAATAAAAAGCACTTTAAATTGTATAAAAGAAACGTTACTAATTTTTTTAGTGATGTAAAATAAACTGTTTACTTCTACAGAATGGCTGCACTTTTAAACCTTGTTGCTGTTTACTTCTACAGAATGGCTGCACTTTTAAACCTTGTTGGAAGTACAGTTTCTACCAGAATCAATTACTGTGTAGTTCTACTGTTAAAAGCTTTAATTTAAATTAATGTATACTTGAAGTGAGATTAGATTTCAATTAAGGATGATTTAACACCTCAAAATTAAACTGTGTACATGTATAATACAAGGAAGTGACACACACACATTTTATTATTTACAGCTTGGGCATCATTCAAAGATTTTGTTATGGTGTCTTTATTACGATTATAAACTTAGATAATTATTCTTATAAAAACAAAGTACTTAAAAGTAATGGTTAGCTCTCCAACCACCAAATTCAATGTTTAACACCTATTGACATACAATTATATATAGTCTTCAACTGTTTGTAACACTAATGAAATCCGTAGGGTGATGACATCACTTAGAACAAACTGACAAAATTATTTAGAGTATGCAAATTACTTTGGTCTTTGCATTTATTTGTTTGTTGTTAAGCACAAAACCACACAATTGACTATCTATGCTGTACCACCAAGAGTATTGAAACCCTGTTTTTATCATTATGAGCCTAATTGTTAACTGTTGACCATGATAGAGGATTGACTGTCACTCGTATAACACACCTGTAGCTTAATATATGGCCCTTTTTTTATCATTACTACAACCTACTTTTTCAGTTTTGTGTTTAGTGACAAAATGGGCTATCTGTGCCATGTCCATAATGAGTATTGAAACCCAGTTTTTAGCGACGCGAACCTGAGCCACTGGGTGGAGGTGGGGGTGTCTGGTCTTTGTGTACTTGGATTATCATGATTATACCGATGAAAATGTAGTAACTTTGATACGCCTGCTCGTACATGTAAATCAAACAATCAGTTACTGTGGTTTTTCATTGTTCTCTCTTTCTTACTCCTTATATCAACTTTCTTAATTCGTGCTTCTTATTTCATTTTTCTTCATTTGAATTCACCTCTCGGAACCTCTGCCAACCTTCCCTCAAATCTAACTATAACACGTGTAAATAGAATGGTTTGTTTTGATTCAAGAGGAAAGTATTTTACTGTACATTTACACACACTTATTTAAAATTGCATATTGCTCTTTAAATACATAATATATGATGTTCTGAACGTTTTTAGTTTTCCTTATTTCAGCTGTCGTGTGGCCGTGCAAGTGTGGCCCCTTCCCAATATTAAGATATTAAGTTCTCTATGAATTGTTTTGTGTTGCATATATTTTCCTTTTGAATACATTTACTTTTATTTCTTAAACTGTATAGTAATTAAAGCTCATTTGTAATTCTGCATCCATAACAGTTATTGTGTAGACACGCACCACGAAAGATACAAACTCTTTTGGCACCCAGCCAATGTGAGAAAACAGGGCCTCATATTATAATACTTGTACAGTAGTATCTAGGAGTGAATTTTTGTGTTAACACTAATGGATAGGTATCTGGATCTGAGGAACTATATTAGAGCTTGATTAAACAAATGAATATGTTAGTTTGTTTTTTGTGGATGAGGGGTAATCATAAGGGCCTTTTGGGTCTTTACCTTGTGTACTCTCTCTTTCTGACTGTGATATGTGATACTGTAAGTAGTCTTAGTTCTGAGTTGGTGACTGTGATGTATTAATACTGTAAGTAGTCCTAGTTCTGAGTTGGTAACTGTGATGTATTAATACTGTAAGTAGTCCTAGTTCTGAGTTGGTGACTGTGATGTATTAATACTGTAAGTAGTCCTAGTTCTGAGTTGGTAACTGTGGTGTATTAATACTGTAAGTAGTC